CCTTGTCACCCTGGAGTAGAAGACTTAAAGTCAGATTGTGGATCAATTTTTACTATATTCATGCCACCAAACGTCACACCATTGATCCAACCGATGGACCAAAATGTAATTAGATTGACAAAGTTACATTACAAGACAAATTTATTGAGATCAGCGTTTGGAAAAGCGAACACAGATGAATATTTAAAGAATTTAAATTTAAAAGACGCTCTTTGTATGTTGGCACATGCATGGGAACAATTAAGCCCTGTCGTCGTGGAAAAATGCTGGCATCCGCTTTTAAAAGATGATGTTTTTAATGAAGAAGGAGCAAACTGTAGCGAAGATGACGACATCCCCTTGAGTGTCTTACGTTCAAATACAATTCAGCAACAATCAACAGAGTATGCGGAAATAAATAATTTGCTGGAGAGCATAGTTCCAGAAGTAAGCCATCATTTTTTATATGTGAAAGTACTAAATTTAACAAAGAAATATTTTCCACAGGTTACGTTTAATACAGCAGATTTGGTTGCTTGGGTTTCAACGGATGACCCTATTGAAGACTTGAATATAGTGGATGACGTTGCTGTTTTAAGTTCAGAAGAAGACGAAGAACCAAATGAAAAATGCAATATAACCGCTTCAGAAGCCGTTTCAGTCTTTGACAAGGCTATAGAGTGGGCCGAAGAATACACTAATTCTCTTCCTAATATAATGGTTCTTAAAAAGTTTAGGGAGGAGGCTGTGAATCAATGCCTTAAAGCGAAAAAAAAACAAACAAAAATTGTTAATTTTTTTTCAGCAGAATAAAGTTTTGCTTTCTTATTTTGTGAATGTACAAAGATGATCTCAAGAATAAAATCTATTTAACTTTTTTGAAAAAATAATAAAAGAAAGTGTACAAAATCTTAATCTGAGTTGAAGCAACAATCTTGATTGAGGGAACAGGCCTTGCACGAATTAGTTCCCTCAATCGCGATTGCACTGTAATTGGTAATTTTGGAATGTTTTACATTGGATCGGATAGACTGCGCTACCATCGCAGTATCCAATATTCAAACCTTAGAAGGCGACATCTGTGGACCAATAGCAAGCTTTCATAATGTGGACAGCGTTGTTCGTTCTTAAGTAATAAAATGGGTGATTCAGTACATCTTTTGGTAGACATCACATTTTTTCATACCTGCGAACTATTGGAGAGAGCAACAATACATAACAAGCTTCGTCAAGACTTTGCGGATACTTTGTTAGATTATGGGCGAAATACGCAAATGCATTCATAACAAACCAAACGCCATATTTAAACGGTAACGATGAGTATATATATTTCAAACTTATCTTTCCAAAAAAATATTAAAATTGCTAAATATTGGGAATAGTGAGATAGAATTGCGGCCAAATGCACAGTGCAATGAATTAAAACTGGCTCAGTAATCATTCGCTGAATAGCGTACCACGGGCATTCCAAAAGACTGTGCCATAAACGTGCTAGCCAATTTTTTGTCTTGCCACGCAAGAGAACCGTTTCATAATATGCAGTCCAGTAGGCTGACTGTCGATTCGACTCGATTGGTTTCACTGATGCACAGCCCCAATTCAACAGTATTTGCCCCCAAAAACCAATGCTTTCTAACGCACGAAATGCTTTTTGAGTAATTTTTTTTGTAAACTAACACAACTAGATTCACAAAAAATGCGATATCTCTTAAACTAATAGTTATAATCTAAATAATAGTGATTTCTAAAAATGATATTAGATGTACTACCTATGTATCAGCCACAGTAGAACGTGGACGGGTCCTCTAGTGTATATGTAAGAATATTAAATATTATATRCACCCACAGACAGTTAAATTAAACACACACACGCACCAGAGGATGACTTTACTTGTGTGTGCACCCGCAACCCGCCTAAAGCACAAAATAATTTAGATTCCTTCTTACCAAATTAAAGATAATGTAAATGCTGGCTGGGCAAATTATCAAAGCACACACACGCCCTTGTATGTGCACCCGCAACCAAATTACCAAAACACACACACGCACTTAAATAAACACCCCCAACATAAAAAAGAACTGCACTTACCCAGATGCAATGTAGGTACTGCATTCCTATTAAGATTTTTTGGGCCAATTGCCTCTTCTTCAAAATGTTTTTACAAATGAATGAGTTGGTGGCTGGAACGTGGTCAGTGAAAGAAATTTTTAGATTCTCCTTCTACTTTTGAACTACTGCTCCCATTCATTTCGGAAACTAAGTAGTCGTAGTACCCCACCGTTGGTGCTTTCACACCCGCGCACGCGACACTTATGAATTTTCGGTATATAGAGGTGTAATAATTCTTAAAAATAACCCGATTAAAAAAATTCCGTTAGCACTTTACAAAATCACAAACTTTATGAAAATTGGCGCAATTATTTATTGGCACTTCAATTTTATATAAAGTTTAAAACATATTTACATATGAATGCATAATATATTTTATTTGGCGCAATTATGGACACTTGTCAGTTTTCTCAATATATTAGTAGGAGAAAGAAGGATGGATACTTTCTTTTGCGAGTAGAGATCAATACAAATAATATGCAAGAAGAAGTTTTTTACTTAATATGTAAATATTTATTTGATTTTGGAGCAATTATTGACACTTGCCTTAACACACAAAATTGGGCAAAACGAAACAAAGAAATACATAATTACTTTTACATGTCAATATGGAAATGCCGATGGCAAAGCGTAAAGGCATACATTGCACATACATACAATCAACCCTTTGGTTGAAAGCTATCATGAAAATATCATAATGGTGTTAGGTGAATCTTTTATTTATTTAAAATGACTTATTATAAAGTAAGATTAAATTAACATAAAATAATTAGAAAAATAATAAATAAAAGTTCTACATACATATTTCCATACATATTGGAACTTATTTCCTATGGAATATCAAAGATATTATTTCTCTTCAATATTCTCTGTTTGGGAGTATCATCATGGGCATGAATACATATATTTATGTCTCTTGGTATTCTTGGGTATGTGAGACAGAGGACGCATTAAAAAATTGTCTTTGTGTTCTCTGTGTGAGAGTGTGTTTTTTACGCATTTTTCGCTGTTAAAAGTGGAATATCAAAGAACTTATTTTTCTTCAATATTCTCTGGTTGGGCATATATATATTTATTTCCCTTCATATTCTCTGTTTGAGTATGTGAGAGAACTGTTAAATATATTGACATTTCACATCGTGAATTCTGTGGTTGTGAGATGAATTCCGTACTGCAAAAATATTTGACATCGAACCTGCACCTTCTCTATGTTTATACATTCTCTGACTAAGCATAGTTAAMAAAAGGGACTGACGGACGGCGGCCGTCCTCTTTTTTTTCGTTCGTGCGCATACAGGTGGTTGTGTTTTCCTGGTTCTTCTTTTGTCCCAATTTGGAGTTTTGTTTTCACAGCACTGTGTTTGTCTAAACTTTTTCAGTTTGCGCAGTATTATTTCTTCTTTTTCAAGGTTTTTTTCACAGAGGAAAGCAAGTATAACTGATGGCTGAAGTTTTGTATGGCGGCGTCCCAACGAAGCTTACTTGCCAAAAGATACCAGGGCAACACTTAAGCACGGTGGTGGGTCAGTAATGGTTTGAGGATGTATAGTATTACCTAAAGGAAAGGGGAATCTGCATTTTTTGCAAGGTATTAGGATCGTTTCCAATATGTCGATATTTTAAAGGAAAATTTAATGCAGTCATGTGTCACATTGGGAATTAAGAACAGTTTTATATTTAGATCAGAAGCACAAATCGGAGATTGCTCGTACTTGGTTAATATGCAATTGCCTTCATGTACTGGGTATACCTGTCCAATCTCCAAATCTGAACGTTATTGAGCACGTATGGCAAGAAATCAGTCGAAAAGTGTACCAAAGGCAGTATTCCAACATTTCTGGGCCCAAAACGGCTATTTTGGAGGCTTGGAACGAACTACCACCAGAATTTGTCAAAAACTTGTCGCCTCTATGACAAGGCGACTAGAAGCAGTTTTATCTGCAAAAGGATATGCTACAAAATAGGTAATTACTAGCTTTTTAAAAAATCCGGTTCGTTGCGTGGAACGAATTTTGTATGTTGCGAGTTATTTACGCCGTGAAATAACCTATTATTACTTTTGAGTTTCCAAAAGTAAAATAGAAGATTTTTCTTTTAGTTTGATTTATCATATGTATCATTCTTAAGATTTTTACTTCATGATTAGATGGTGGCATAATTGGCGATGTACGCATCCGGTTATACGTGTGAGTCACTGTATGTAAATTTAACTTATTAATCTTTTTTTTACAAAGGAAAGACAATGTTTCAGAAAGAAGTTTAGTTCCAGGCATAGATGAAGAAATATTAAGAGCAAAGTGGCTCTCACACATCACCCACCAAAAAGATGCATGTTTGGTTGTACAACATACGGCCAAGCTACAACCATTAAGCGAGACCACGGATTGATTACACAAAGTTTTTCAACCTTCTCCGGGGCATAATATTGCTGCAACATGGCTTACAGCAACTCACGAAATGTCTTCAGAAGCTTTTGAAAATTTTTTCGTTCATGTAACATCAACAGAAGTACATCGGTTTCTCTTGCCATGTCCATCAGCAGCAACTACTGGTATCATAAAAAGTTTTGTAACCTGGCTCAAAAATGCACACCTTTTTGCTAACAAGCCGGAAGCGAAGGACGAGCTGACACTTACACACGTAGTTTCTATTGAACAAGGGATTCGAAGTCACAGTCTACCCTCACAAACGAGCAACTAATACGAAGATGGCGACCGGTCACCTACTCATCGCAGTTAACCGAACACCCGTAAACAGTTACGGTGTCGTAACTATCGCTTTGAAAATCGTCATTAGCAGTGAGTTAACAAGGCGTTTCATACTAGCAGACGTGTCGAAACCAATCTGAAACGAGACGCATTTGTAAAGAGAAAAAGAGAGAGACCGAAATGCGTGAGTACGAAAAGTTTGACAAGTTGACCGACAGGGGTAACGCTCGAAATTTCTACGAAAAGATACGGCGACTAACAGAAGGTATCAAGACCAAAGCATACACTTCTATAACCTCCTGAAGGGATCTATGTGATGTAGAGTGGAAGTATAACGCCAAAAGAAGTCAAACCTGATTCGGTAATCGATCACGATGGAGCAGATGTTCAATTGCCAGACCATGAAGAAGTTCTAATAGCAATTAGCTGTCTGAAGAACAACAAAGCCGGGGGCCGATGGATTGCGACGATTGGAATTCAATCTAATCCACCAAAAGGGAGACCCCACAATCTGTGCCAACCATCGTCGGATAAGCCTCCTCAACATCGCGTATAAGGTTTTATCGAGTGTATGGTGTAAAAAATTAAATCCTACCGTCGACAAACTGCTTGGACATTATCGGTGTGGCTTTAGCCTGGCGAATCAACAACTGATCAGATATTCATCATGCGCCAAGTCCTGGAGAAGATTCGGGAAAAGAGAAATGACACGCACCACCTCCTCTTCGATTTCAAGGCTGCCTTTGACGACACGAAAAGGAGCTGTCACGATGTCTGAATTTGGTATCCCCGCAAAACTAATACGGCCGTGTAAGCTTACGCTGAGCAACACCAAAAGTTCCGTAACAAGTGGGAACGTCCTCTCCGAACCGTTTGATACCAAACGAGGATTCAGACAAGGCGACTCTCTTTGATAGTATAAGCGGTTTCTACGCTAGTAAACAAGATAAAGAATGTTCGTTATATAGGGGTTAGGGCAATCCATTTTCAGAAAA